ACCGATGGAAATGATTTCACCGACCTTCTGAGCGGGGGTCCACACAGGCCAGTTCGGAGGGAATCTGAAGGGTGTTAGCGTTTGGGTACGAAGCAGAGTTGCAGCGCGCATACGGAAGGTAGGGCATATGGTCGAACCCTGGAGGAATTTGAACACCGAATACTCGACGAAGGGGCAGGAAGGCTCACAAACGGGGTCATGCAAGCACAGCGCCTCATACCTATTGCGCCACTGATCTCCCACTCTTGGATACTTATCCACAATCAACGTCGGGACGTCCAACAACTTCAACCTTGCACCAAGACCCAACCCACTCTGACCACCTCCAATGATGAGAACATAAGGCTCGGCACCTTCAAACTCGATTTCCTTCCGCCTCTGTTCTGCCCACTTGCCGTGGTTGGGGAGTTGGTTCCGTAGAGCCCCAATTTTCTCGGGGTACTCGGTGAGGGATTGCAAGTTGGTGTAAACGGTCAACGCTTTCCAAACACCCTCAGGGGAGAAGACGAGCCTGAAGACACCATCTCCGGCTCCCCACGATCCAACGGAGAAAGTGAACAACGCGTCGATCCACGTCATATCATCGTCAGGTTTTCCGACGCTCGCTGTCTCGAGCTTGAGGTTGTTGAGACGAGTCTTTTCGCCGATCGTGGGGTTAGCGATCCGATCTTGGAGGAAGGATTTGATCTGGGCGGTGCCAAAGAAGGTACGGAAGTCCCACGTGAGAGAGAGGATGTCCCTCCAGAAAGCGTCTGGTTGAAAAAGGTCCAGGGCTTTATCGACGTCGACGTCACCGTTTGGCGAAGGCGAGACGGCTGTTTGAAGGTTTTCCAGCCATTCTGCTGCGATCTTGACAGGGTCGATGTCTGTTGGAGGGGAGATACCGAGGTTATCGAAGGTAGGAAGAGCGGGAACTGGTGTTGAGGCCATTGTTCTCTGCGCAGGAGAGCACAGTTGATCGAATCAGCTCTCCTCTTATACTTGCCTGGAGGAAAATGAAATTTCTCCACGTCGGAAAGTTTTGATGTCGTCAACTGGTCGTCAATATTCAATACGCAGCGGCACGTGGTGACACATCACTGGGGAAGAAGAGTGGTGCCAATGATTTCAAAGCCTCCGAGATTGCCGGCTTAGATACCCACTCGTGATTCATTTCTTGAGGCAGTCCTTAGGGTACGAGTGGGCCATATGCATAAGGACCGAAAAAAAGTCATGGATTTCGGCGGCTCCAACTGCCAAATTACAAGACTTCTGAACCAGATTGGATTGGCTCCCCGGTGATTCTGTCAAGAAGACTCTTCTTTGAGCCATTTCGCCGATCCTAGGGAAAAAGTCCACCCAGCCGTCTAGTTGGTGAAACAGCTTGAAGTAGACCAAACACATACCACGGAGGCGTACACCCTCGGAATAATCAGCACCGTCCGTACTCACTGCGCCGCCGAACGCATCGGAGCCGGGAGAACATACAAGGTGCATCCATTGCGCGCCGATCCGGCATGCACTGCTCGTTAGTGAACGTTGCATACCCCATAGGTACAAGATAGCCGTCCCAGATCTCGTGAATTGGTTTGATACCTAACTTCGGAACACGGCTCACTCCAGTTGCGTTCCGGCGCGTTTTAAAGGTCCTTGTAAGATGTCCCGAAGCAGCAGTGTATACCGAGTGCGGGCCTCGAGATGATCATGATCATGATGTGAGAAAAGTAGATCGAGGTTCAATTGGACTGGAAGGGAAGAAAGCGAACCCGGCCCGAGTTCGCCTGAAAGTCCGGCTCAGCACCAACTGCTCACCCTGACACGTGCGCACGCTATGTCTTCAGCCCTTCTTCAAGAGAGATTCAGATATTTTTGAGCATTGGCGCATACGTGGCGGGAAGGGGCCGGACACCTGTAAGTACATGAGTGTACCGGTAGAGTCATCCCACAGTGAGCGCTTGTCGACGCGTCGGCACCCTTAGCCTAGCGCTCAGCCTCGGTTCGCGTGACGTCGTGTCCCTCTCGCTCATTTTCCACCATGCCACTATCGCCCGTTCAAATAACCGCAGCCAATGAAGTCATCCACATCCTCTGCACGACTCCAGCGGGCCCTCGCTCAAAACGAAAACTGGGGGAAATGTTTCTGGAGTTGGTGGACAAGGACGACTTCCCTGAATACTACGAGGTGTGAACGATCAAATTCGCCTTGAGGACGGAGGTATCGAAACCAGTCATTTGTGTTTAGGTTATCCAGGACCCAAAGTGTTTGAACGGCGTTCTCGCCGATCTCAGGGCCAATCGATTCAAGGACGCACAAGCCGTTTACGACGATCTGAACCTCATCTTCTTGAACGCTCTTCACTACAATAGAGAAGAAAGCCAAATAGCAAAAGACGCTAACGCGCTCAAAGTACGCTTGAAACGATTGGCGATACAATTAACATAGTACCGATTAACGCGCTCCGTCTGGCAGGGTGTACTTGAGGCGGAGTGGACCAGGCGACCCGTGTTGCCACCCCTCACCCGTCAAACATCGGTGAACCAACGAAGAGCGTCTTCCGAAGTCGACATTGACGGCGGAATGTCCGAGTCTGAACCAACGAACGAGACTTCTCGAGTGGCGCAGAGCGACGAGATTGTGCAGCAGTTGGAGAAGAGCGTGCCAAGGTGGGAGGGTTTTGGACCTAGTGGGTGGTCTACGACGATACAACTGGTATATTTTTCGTTCTCTCTCCCCTTGGTATCTTGATTAGGGGTTCCAGGCAGGCGGTTTGCCAATTGTTGAACAAATACGAGAGTACAAGGACGCAAGGCATGTCTTGGCGTTTGCCTATAAAAACCCCATGATTCCAACGCACTTCCAACAGCGGGACGCGACTCAGCGTCATCCTGGACGCGGTTCCAGATATGGATCCAAAGCTCAACTTCCCACAAGTCGTAGGTAGCCAATACATTCTTGGTCAATGGCGAAGGCTTACAATGGCTCTATATCAGCGACCCATATCTCTAACACTTATTGAGGTAAACTTAGCGTCCATCTCACTCTGCAACATGATTGACGCGAGGTTACAGACACGACTTCGGGCCGGCGAATATGAGAACCCCCAGGAATTCGATCGTGAGATGCATGAGTTATTCCTGAAAGGCCGTAGGTTCTACGAAGCCGGGAGCGACACATATGGAAACATACTGCTTTTACAGGTCCGTAGCGCGCTCACATGCATCCGCATCTTACTGACCGTCCCAAAGCGCTTTTACCAAGCCCTGACCTCCGCTAGCCCCCCAAGTGGGCCACCTTACAAAACTACAACCAATTGGGCTTCTCTACCTGCTGGACCTGGAAAAGCAAAACCCCTAAACGCTGCAGAAGGCGAATTTTCGAGGGCCGTAACCACATTCCGAGTTTCAACCAAGGAACGGAAATTCGTGGAAGAGGTCGAATATAGGGGTTGGAAGATTCGGGTCGCGGATTGGTTACACTTGTGTAATCCTGACGACCCCAGCAAACCCATCATCGGACAGGTGTTCAAGTGCTATGAATTGGAAGAACCGTGAGCTTGTAACAAATATTTTCTCTTCCCCCAAGCCCTGACTCTATGCGCAGCGCTCGGATGGGTCAACTTGGGGTAACTGTATGCTGGTATTATCGCCCGGAACAGACAATACACCCTCCACACCGTCAATTCTGGGAAGCAGAAGTCTTCAAAACAAGTATGGTCTCTAAGATCCGTTCACCCCATGCACCCTGACACGCCCCATATAGGCCATTTCGCTGATCACCCTCTGGACGACATCATCGAAAAGATCGCTTGTCAATTTACAGCACGTCACATCCGCGGCAGGCCACGTCCACCGGTCTGGTATCCAGGGTTCCCTCTTTACGTATGCGACTCACGGTACAACGACCGCGAACGGATATTCGTCAAGATCAAGAACTGGAACTCATGCGTGCCAGAGGAAGTCAGGAAGAGTGCAGATTTCATGCCGATCTATCCATTTGAAGCGCCCGTATTTCCCAAGAGATATCCGAGTCCGTTTCTGAACGGCGGAAGGGGTACGGGTGGGTTGGGGGAAAGCATGGAGAAGGCTGAGGGCGACAAACATGAAGGCGGTGGGATTGGGAGGAAACGGCCGAGGAAAGGAGCGGGTGGGACGAGTACCGTCAACCAGACGGATTATGCTGGACCGAGTAAGGGGCTCTACGTTGGTCCACCCACTCCGGTAACCACCGGGCCAGGGTCTACGTCGCTGCTCAGCGTGCCGTTGACTGCGACGACGAGTACGGGGACTGGATCGACGCCGGTGTACCAGTACCAACCTTCGCTCGCTGTACAACCACAACGGACGGTATCATCTCAAGGTGGGAAGCCGAACGAAGATCGGTCGATGTTGAGCGCTGTGGGCGGCTTAAGCGTCGTCGGGTCGCAAAACGTCATTTTGGAAAAATTACCTCCGGAAACAGGTACGCGTCGTTTTTTTTGCGCTCTGGGCGGGTGAGGGCGCAGCCCGCTCAAACTTCAGGGTAGCGAAACATTTCGATAGGGACCCGCAGACGAACGAAGTGCTGTGGTTCGCGAGTCCGCCTGTCGACGTCGCTCCACCGGTTCAAAAACCGAGGCACAGTTTCGCGTACCTGAACCATCTGGCGAAGAAACGGAAACTGGAACTCGAGAGGGAGAAGGAGAGGGATGAACGGGAAGGTGAGGACGCTGGGATGGATGTGGATGCGGAAGAGCCTTCGAGTTCCGTGGATGCTCCGCCGAAGATATCGGTAGATGAGGCATGGCGGAAAGCGGTTCGGGCCCAGTTCTCATAGTGCGCGTCTTGCGTCGGGGCGCAGACGCATCCCGAATTTACTTTTCCGAGTTGAGATTTGCACAATTATGCTCATAGTACATATTGCCACTCATGCTAGATACTGGTGAGGAATTCTCCACTTGATCCTTGGCGCTCCATAACAGGCCTTTTCTGTTCCGAGTGACCACAAGAGAATGCGCGATACGTTAACCAAAGAAAAAGACGGTTGGACGATAGGATGCTCGAAATCCTGACTTCACGCAAGCGACTTGGCAAGCCATGCAAAGCGTGCGCTCTACCAACTGAGCTAATCGCCCCACGAATCTCGATCACTTTTGCGCCGTCAGATCAACTTTTTGGCTGCGACGCTGAGTTCATCGAGACCGCATAAGTCCAGCACGTCCCAGAACAATTGGTTAGGCCCTCCGCCCACGTTTTCTTCTATGATGGAGGCGCCGTCCCGTGATAATCCTACTAAGACTACCACGAACCCTGCTTGCCCTTTGGCAACCCTCGCGCTACTCGTGGAATCCCACAGGCAGTTCCGACGTCCATAATGCCAACCCCCCAAATCCTCCAACAGCTTTACTCCCTCGGACCTTCGTCTCCAGATTTCCTGCGCGTCATATGGGCCTTCATTCATAGCGATAAGGATGAACAATACTCGTCCGGCCTTCAGGGAGAAGAGTTGATTCGACTGGTCAATTTTCTCGATACCGTGCGTCTTTTTCTTTCCTCCCCAGCGTCTTGTCCCATCACAAACGAGACCTTCAAAGGCCATCTGTTCCATTCCCACTTCTGATGATGTATTCCGGCGATGCGTGCGCAAACTGCGAGCCATCTGCGGCTCCCATGCGACCCTACCGTCTTCGCATATCATAAGCGGCGATCTTACCAGAGTTGGTGAAAGCGCGATCGCATACGGAGGCTTTGCCGATGTATGGAAGGGGGATCAAGGTGGAAAGATAGTCTGCATCAAGGTGTTGAGGATCGCAGTGAACGATACCGCTGGCCTCAGGAAGGTTCGCATTCGATGTTGGCAGATCGCCGCCTTGTTTGTTGATGGTCTCCCTTGGGCGCTGTAGTTGTTTTTCAAAGAGGCGGTAGTGTGGAAACGATTGAGACACCCAAACGTCCTGCCTTTCCTCGGTGTCACCCTCGAGCCGTTACAGTTCGCATCCGAGTGGATGCCCAACGGCACTTTGACAAATTACGTCTCAAAAAATCCCAGCGCGAACCGGATCGCCCTTGTGAGTCCTTTTTCACCGCCATCACACTAAATCAACACAAACCCTCTCCTCAGTTGTTGGACGTGGCAGAAGGTCTCAACTACCTCCACGCTAGCCACACGATACATGGGGACCTAAAAGGGGTAAGCGCTCTCTCCGGATCGTCCCGAGAAACGCTACTGACTCCAGGCTAGCCCAACATTCTCATCAAAAGCGACGGTCACGCGTGTCTGGCTGATTTCGGGCTCGCCTCAATCGCTCAAGGAAACAATTCCGTCGTTGCTGCCGATGTACATGGATACTCCCCAAGGTGGACGGCACCGGAGATCCTCGAGGGGGCGGATAAGATCACTCGGGAGGCAGATGTTTTCTCATTTGGAATGGTTGTGATAGGTGTTAGTCCTCGCATCTTCCGTGTTGATCGTCGAGGGCTGAGGGAAGGGCGTTTCTCCTGACTTCTTGGTCCTGCTGTAGGCCTTTACGGGGAAACCTCCGTTCAGCGAACTGAATACTAACACGGTTGTTGCAAAGACCAGAGCCGGAGAGAGGCCACCTTATCCGCTGGAGGCGAAGGAACTGGGTTTCATGGGCCCAATATGGGACATGACAAACAATTGTTGGCGCCATGACCCTTCTCAGCGGCCAATGATGGCTGCCGTCGTTGAATTCCTGCGTGAATGGTGAGTGGTTCCCTCCAGCGTAAACCAGCGCATCCACACGTTTCTTGCAGTTACACCTTACACGCCGAGGATCCATCCCTATCCAAAATAACTCCGTGGAAACTGACCGTGAACGCAAAAGATGTATCATCCTACAAAGCGATCAAGAAAACTGCCAGGGAGAGGTGGCGGAAACTTGCGCCCGTCGTCATGTTCACGATTTTCGCCAAAAAACCATCGGTGGGAGGTCACTGATCGTGCACGGGTTTCTTGCTGTCGTCGTTCGTTCATCGCCTTGTTCGCGCGCTCACATCCGATATACCCATGGACCCTCGCTCCCCAACTTTCATCACACCTGTATTAATATTTAACCGACACGTCAGACGCCCACTTCATCGTTTGCCGTCTATGAGACTTGTAACATATGTACTCCTCTCGTGCTCTGCTCTCAAGGATCCCAGTGCTTCCCACAATCCAACGCGAAAGTGATAGAGTGATCAAGAACACGAACGATATGCAAATTAGGATGGCATTATTTTTGACTCACTTGATGCCCGCAACGTTTTTCACGTTGACGAGATTTAGCGCGCCTTGGTACCCTAGCTTGGGGGCCACAGTGGTGGTATGGATTCTTGAGGACACGGCCGTAAAATTTGTTTCAACGGGTTTTTTTTGTAAAGGGGATGCCATGTACTATGATGCATACGCGCGGTAGAATGATTATGTCATGCGTGGATAGCAGTCTTAATAAACCACGTTCTGCACAGGGAAACATGCATGTGTGACATAGAGAACAAAAGCCAGCCAAATGAGCAAAAATAAGGGATTAAAAATTGAAAACCACAGCACCCAGGATTCCCGCGTGGTCCCCCACCGTGGTACTAACTGGGCGGCACCCTGGTTAACTTCGCAGATCGGACGGGATGCGGTGCTTTCAAGGTCCTATGGCCGTGGATACCTTCCTTAATGTCCCCCTGTATATAACCGCATTTTCCAACCCCAAAAATAGCATTCCAACCAAGCCCGGGATAGATTTTTTTGTATAAACATCGGTACGCTGCAAAGGTATGCGTAGATATGTACGTAACGATAGCGGACACTACTGTGACCCAATACGTGTGCGGGAGTAGTAAAAACATGTGAAAGGGGGTTTAAAGATCGTACATATATACTCCACCCGAATGGATCCCTAAAGCCAAATAGATCTCGCATATCTCGTGAATGTGGGGATAAAAAAGTGAAGCGTGGATGGGGGGATGTACCGAATCACACTTTTGGTGATTCGCTGACGAGGGTCCCGTACTGCAGGGTCTTCCCGCCGCCTGGAGAGGTGCCAGTAACCAACGGCGCAATATCGAATGGGATCGGCGATCCTACTATAGATCTGGACTCTTCTCTTCCTCTGCGCACTGATATTTCTACAATTCTAAACCGTCTGTCGATAACTTGAACCACTTGGATAGAGGACAGAGCACTCACCCTCTCATGACCGCAGCAGTGGTCATCCGCCTCGCGCGTTTCTTGTGTCGGTTGTCTTCGTAACGGTCCGTCTCATCAACGATTTCCTCGGAAATGATTTCCTGTAACCAGCGTCAACATGACATAATCGCTCATGAGAGCTGGGATCAACCTCGATTATATCTGAAGTGGAACAGACATCATTCGGGGAAAACGACATACGGCACGGACAAATACTGACCTTCAAGAGTAATCACACCAATGGCACCTCCAGCTGCACCAGGTGTCTTACTGAGTAGTAGCAAATGCGCGCGGCCAGTTTGGCTGGTGCAGGAATTTTAGCGCACGATCTACTCGAGCCAACGACAGACCTCACAAGTAGTCCAAGGCTTGGAAACAATTAATTGTTGGTCCGGCTTCGGGCAAAATTGAGAGAGGAACGTCGGAGACTTTCAGGGGTTTAGTCAGGTCACAAGTCAAAAGCTACAGCGTGATTAGCACCGCAGTCGACGTGTAACCTGGTTAAATACCTTTTTCACAAGTAAGAGTCCAATGAACGCCAATGGGCGGCCAGGTTCGTGTACCGGGAACCGTGAGAAACCACTCATCAACCTACACAAAGATCAGCCGCTGAATTCGAGGGTGAGGAGACCGGACAAACAGGGACTCTAATTTCGTGTGGTCAAGTACGTCGTCTGCGCTGATGGTAACAACGTCCTGGGGCAAAGATTGGATCAGCCGGAAGTGGGTAAGGAACAAACACCTCAGGAGGGTTCACCTTCATCGGTGTCATGATGGTTTCAGCCCGCTTGTTGCCCAATTCCAGGACACCGCTCAAAATGGAGATCTCGTCGTCGTGCAAAGGTTCTTCACCTTGCCTGTGGAACTGCAAGAATGATTTGAGTTCTGCCTTCTTGTAAGTATGCGCTTCATCCGAGCCAAGGATACGGTCAAGCAATTTGGCAATTGGCCACGCGATGGGTGCTAGTTTGGGAGCGTCATTGAGCGAGAGTGAGCGAATGGAAACAGGAGACGACAAACCAAGGATGTACATCGTGGCCAGAACGAAGGGAGTGCATCGAGCACCGACTGCGAGACCGTACCGCACGCTGACTGCCTGGGGAATAATCCTAAACTCCGGGTAAGCGACGTAACACGTTCAGATTTGTATCATACGCACTCCCTGGATCATTTAATCAGTAGGTGTTCACCACGTGACGAACAGAAGGGGCTCACCCGAAAATGACTACAAACACGAGGGTATGTGAGCGCAGGTCACCATGTGGGCGCGACACTCTCACCAATCATAACAGTGGAAATGACGATGGCGGCTACACCACCGCCAAGCTAAAATGATACTTGAGTATTGATCATGGAAGACGCGGCGAAACGTACGGCGTTATCGAGGAAGATTGGCAAACTTTCGTTAATGACCTGTGATCCGGGGTCGGAGACGCGGACGTGAGTTAGGTCACCACCGACGTGGGAACGTCCAACTTACGACATTCGCGAGCAGGAGGACCTGACGGCTGTCAGTTCCGGATCGCTGTCCTTGACAAGAGGGTAACGTACCACGAGGACCCAGTGCCGCCCTTTCCTGAGGAGTTTTAGAACTGGGGTTTAGTCGTGTGAGCAAGCTTGCGATTCAATGTAGCAGAAGAGGGCACGAAACCTTTTTTTGCGTTTGACCTTTCGACCGGATCCTCAGAAGAGGCAGAAAGGACGCGAAGGTGCAGTTCGTCTAGACCCATCAAACCGAGTGTCAAACTAGTCACAGATAGACCGCGCAGGAGTGAGAATAAGCCAGAACTGCGAGTGAATCAAATCACTGACCCAGAGAATACGCCGCCAGCGAGTACGAGAAAGACACTAACTAGCATGTGGAACCAAAACTCTGCGGAACCAGGTTCAGGGACTCCATCGTTCCTAGGCGTTGTCTTGAAGACGACAGCTCTGATGGTATCCCTGACA